TATGATACACCATCTCTAGCGGCTCGTAATACGGTTGATGATAACAGCTTCCTCTTTTTTATTTTTGATTCAGCTTCAAAAAATGATCAATCGATTGCGATTTTCTTTTTCCACCATCGCATGTGTTATTATTAATGACGATGTCATCACTCTCTTCTTGAGGGGAGAGTGGCGAGTAGTAATACTGTTTATAGGTATTGTTACGAGCTTGAGGTTCGTGACAATAAAAATTGCCGATAGAATTACCTAAATTAACACTTTAATTCACTTTACACAAATTAAATCTTAAAACACCAATAATTAAGCACACTAATTCACTTTATTCCGCTCCGAAGCTTCGCTTGTCTCGCCAAATTCAATACTTCCCCGATCGCACCTTGCAGCGCCTATAAATACACATTAGTACCGAATCATCCAGAACATTCAAGTAAATACGCGCACCAATCGACAAAGCGCCGAAAGTTCGATAGTCAGCTTCCAGAGGCTTAGTTCTTCGGTTCGGGACTAGATGGCGCTGTCGGTTTGAAAGTTAGTAGTAAAGTTGAGATTAGTGATGTCATTTTCTGGAAAGCTCCCCTCGCTCTCGTCTCTGACACTAGATGGCGCTAGTGCCGTCGACTTAGGCGCGTAACTGTATTTTCATCGAAGCTCAATGATTTCTGCAACAACACAGTTATCGTGTTAATATCAATTTGTTAACACTTAATCATAAAAGTTAAAAAGGTTAAAGTTATAGCCTATTAAAGTCCATTGCTGAACATAGGCCTCTTCTCATTTCTGAGATGGTTTTAGGGCTAGGAAATGCCGGCCGCGCTGCCTCAATGCGTACCAGTAAGTAATAATTCTAATCTAAAGAATTTCTGCAGTGGAACTTATAGTAACTTTATGCGTCAACAAGCTTATCTCACATTCTGTGCTTGTATCAACATTCGTGTTGCGCCTTGTTCGATGTATCATTGACTCAAATACGATATGTATAACACAAAAAATTCAATTTAATATTTAGAAATCACTATAATTGATCATTCCTATGTTAGTCATTGAGTAGATTGGTACTGTAATAATCTACTAATAGCAGTAATATCATGGATACACTAGATATACAACAACATCTTAAAAAAGATTCAATCCAGTCTAGAAAATAATGTTTATGCTGCTAATAGACTACCCATGTACACCCACGTACCAACAAATATAATATTCAATTTGGATACAGATGATCGAACGAGGAAGAATAGACAATGAACAATAGATAAATAGGTAAGAACAATGGGAAACTAATCGTGCATCCTACGCAAAAACGGAGATAAAAGAAGAAAAAGATTCGTGATCAAAGCATGGCAAAACTTTTTTTTTAGGATTTGAGTCGACGGACGTTGTACCACTTCTGACTCAGTGAGCCAGAACTGGTACAACTAACTAACTAACTACTGCCCTATCCCAGTTTACAATATAGCAGCATGGCTCTATCACGTAAAAAAATGTTATATATAGAACCTCTGGTTGGTTTGTTATCACTTGTGCTTCCCTCACATACCTTTTCCGTCCTGCAACATGACTACTATGCTTATAACATCTATGGTTTGCTTAACTCAGTATATAATAGTAACAATATTGTTATACATGTCATCAAGCATTGAACTATGATGAATATTGTTACAGTGAGAATAATAACATATTCTAAGTTCCTCGGGTTACTTAAGCGACCTTAACTTGCTAACCCACTGGTCTCTTGGTCTCTGGTTCTCCATACGGAAACAAAGCCGCATTATTCTGCTAGTTTACACTTATGTTCCATGAGACCGTGATCCCAGCCCGGTAGAGCGGATCAATTTGAGTTGCAGCCATGTATAGCTGCAGCATAGCTCTACCACGAAAAACTGACCTTTTTTAATAGGATAATGATGAGAAGCGAGCACACACACGACAAGCAATTTATTATTTTCGTGCTCGTTGTTGCTATTATTTTTACACAGGCGCTTGTCTTTCCTGGTTTGGTATAAAGTTGTATGCTATGTATTACATCAATTTTTTTGAGTATGGTTAGCTTTATTGATCATTCAGTTATATTGCATACCTACAATTTTCTATCATTAATTGGTTAATTAAGTTTTTCCTAGGATAAAGGTGAGAAACGCGCGCACAGTCCACCCAATGATAAGTGGTTGCTGTGGCCCGTAGACATCTACAGCAATCCTCGTTTGCGAGTTAAATACAGATGGGTTGTCGAACGTGATAATTAAGATTGAATGCCTCTTTTTCAGTAAAAAGGGTTTCCAGTTTTCTACACTCACCATCCGAAACACAGCAGTATTAAGCTGCTAATTTAGGCTGATATCTGGTGAGAGCTGTTAGGATGGCTCGCCTTGGGTCTTTTTTTAAAAAAAAGACACCTTTTACAGCTGCAAAACTAATTTATTTTAATTATACTTCGGAATATTACAAACTGTAAGAAAGTTGTGTACCGAACAAAAGTTAGAGTTTGACTGCATAAATTATATGAAAAATCACTTTTATACAACTTATATAATGCTTACCACAGCAATTACTACCTTTTACATTGGTTCATAACAGAGCGTGGTCCTTCCCCGGTCGAGCTGACCCATTGGTGCTACAACTATACTATTAATATAGCCATAAAAGAGCCTTTTCATTGGATATAATAAGTTTTACACAGTTTTATTATACAATATCTGCAAGTTACACATATATATAGTGATTTAGTGTCATTTTTAATAATTCTTTAAGCTAGAGCTTATTATTGTGATTTGCGTTTCTAATCCATACGTCATTTGTCTGTGCGTTTAATTTTTATTAAATGATGTCTTTGTGCAACAATTACATTTCAGTGAATTTACAAAGGACCAAAAATGAAGCAATAGTGCATCCATTACCGTTAGAGCCTATTAAAATCTGCTGCTGAACATCCTCCCCCATAGATATTGGCCATAATTGCTGCGCTTGGCAAGTGGGTTGGCAACCGCAGTATGTTTAGTTTTATTCGTTGCCAGGAAGACGCTGATGTCCACCTCCATATCTGTTTCCCTCTGCCGCCTCTTACGACACCCACGTAACGATATGGGGTAGTGGATACCCTTACACCGCAACTACACGGTAATGCTGCAATACCGCAAGTATATCGTAATCAGGTGGCGACATTTAAGAAATATAATATACGTAGGTACCTCCTTTATAAAAATTCAGCTCTACATATCTCCCGTCGAGGCAACGCGACGTCGAGGCCCGGGTGCACTTTGCACTCACGACACTATTTTTCGGTCTACTTGTCAGCAAATCGCTCGTGACTCAAAACCATCTTGATACAGCCTCGTGTTTTATTTCTATGAGTATTTTTTAAACTAGTTATTTTATCATTCAAAACAGCAGGGTAGTAAAAATAAAACTTGTACAAGTTTCTGTCGTATATTTTTATCTCAAGTAAGTCGAGTTGTCTTAAACGTGATCGGCCTCAGACACGACACGTGTGGAAACCCTAAGCTGGAATTAGTATAAAATTTCCTTAATAGGGTATTATTAGGTCAGGAAACCCTTCTTATATAAATGAAATAAAAGTATTTACAAGAAATTAAGCACGTAGAAAAGAAATATTAAGTGAAAATTGGAAATTAATAAAATCTTAAAAATGGAGAAAATTATACTAAAGTTAAAAAAAATGTTTTACTGCTTTCCAATGGACCATTATTTTTATAAAATAGATTGTACAACCAGTACGTGTTGCCAGTGATGACTTACGGATCTGAGACGTGGTCCTTCACTGCTGGTCTTATGAGGACGCTCAAGGTCGCTCAGCGAGCTATGGAGAGTGCTATGCTCGGGGTTTCTCTGCGTAATAAACGTATAAATGAGGATATCTGCAGTAGAACCGATATAGTTACCGACGTAGCCCAACGGATTAGTAAGCCGAAGTGGCAATAGGTCGGCCATATAGCTCGAAGAACCTTCAAGTTCTAGTGGGGAGTCGCCTTACTTCTTGTAGTGAAGACCCTGTAAGACATGCAGTAAGTCGTTGGATGCAGGTGGTTCCGAACCGTGCTTTGTGGCATTCCTTGGGGGAGGCCTATGTTCATCAGTGGACTTATTAAGGGCTGTAATGATGATGATGATGAAGCTCATGTATAAAAATAGACGTTTACGTGCTGATCAAAAATAAGAAGAAAATTACTTAAATATCTTTTATCCTTGAGATATAATTATATATAACTGTCACATAAACGATTAAAAGCTCATTATTTTATAGAATATAACTCAATTAAGAATTAAAATTCCAGGTGCATTGTCACCCCTGAACACTAAAATGGAATGCCTCGCTTCCAGTCAAAAGAGTTTGGTCAGCACAAAGCATTGAAATAGCCTAGATATCGTCCCCGTAGAGCGAAAAGTCATAAAGTCGAAAAATCGTGTTTCGAGATAATGAGAGTTAAAGTTTTTGAAAATAAAAATCGTTATAACATTGGCTTGCCTTTACATATCTTTACGTTTTTAGTTTTAATTTGAAGGAAATAAAATAAATATAATACTATAAGAGATAAAACACGTGAAAAATCTCTAATACTTGAGAAAAGATAAAAACATTTAACTAATTAATTGTTTTCTATCAAAGCTATGATTTAGTTGCGAATTAGTTAATTTTCGAACGCAGTTAGTGACTTGTCTCTCAGTTCTAAATTATTTTGAAGAAAATTAACTAGACTTAAGTAAAGTCGAACTTACTATTAGGTGTACAAAATATGTATTGTAAATAATACTTAACTGAATATTCGAAGCTAGTATATTAAGTTTTGTCTTAAATATAACATGATTAAGTAATGAAACTATTGTAATAAATTCAATCAAGATTTATTGAAGCAATTATTCGAAAATATCAGCCGAAATCAACAAAATACTATTAATGTTAAATAAAAACAAAAAGTGCAACAGCCTCATGCACACAAACTGAAAAGTTATAGAACTAGTAGAAATAGTTATTAAAAAAATAGATTTCAGTCGACTACTTCTTCTTCTCCCTCCTCAGTGACATCTGGCTCCAAAATTCTGTCTACTACGTCTTTACTTGTTGGTAAAGACTGATACCACAAGTGGAGCTCTTGTGGAATTATCCCCTTCGCACATAAATTATTGACGTCTTTCTTTTTGCCCTCTGAAATAGGCAGCGGCGAGGAGTAAGCTGGTGGCATTTTATAATTTTTCAATACTTGCATCAGTTCTTCTGTCCCTTGTCCATCCTTTTGTTCTTCTAGTTTCCTCCTCTTTCTAGTAATAAATGTAGATTTTGTCGGACATTCTAAAATATTAAATTCTAGGTAGGGACCATCATGTTGATATCTAAACTTAACAGGACCCGGGCCTCTCGAAACGAAGACACTTAATTTTTAGCCATGTAATTTTATTGCCTTCTTTATCTCTGCTTGTTAACTTTCAATTTCCACACTGCCCCTTATATGAGTGTGACCACCTCTAAAAGTTTAATAAATTACCATTAATCTCATTCCAAGTTATACAAAATGCTTCATGAGGTGGTTTATACGTGTGAATTGTATAATTTTGTACGTTTAATTTTCTGGTGTAATATAAAATACCAACACCACTGACTGGTATATGCAAAGTAGACTGCATGTCTGCCGTTACGACTAGGTAATTGTCATCAATAATAGACCGCTGTTTGTCCGATTCTTTCGCTTGCTGTGCTTCATTTTTTCTTGCAATATGTGAATCATATTCCTCCTTCAAATGTTCTGGACGTCCGGCACTATCATAACGAGTGCATGTTATGCATAAGTCTTTTTTTGGGGTAAAAAATGACAAATTGAATTTAGACCCAAATATTGTTTTATAGACGTAAAAAGAACATGGTTCTTCATTTAATGTTGTTAGTTGCTCTTTATACAATTCGTACATTTTAGCGATTGTCAGTTTGCTCTCCAGGTACTGTCGCTTACTTTTCTTCCTGCAGTAGTGAGATTCGAGCCGGGGAAAAGAGTTTATGTGGTCAATGATCTTCTGTTTAGACTCTAAGTTAGTTTTGTTTACTGGGACTCGAGAACCACGCCCATCCTTACCTGTATAGTTACCCAACTCATCTCTATATTTCAATGCTTCATTTACCGGTCCATTTGAAATGCTTAGAGTTTTTAGAAAAAAAATCTTTGCAGACTCGTATTTTATTATCATTTTTATTAAAATAATAAGAATAGGTAGCAGTCCGGTTTTTTTTAGCAGGGATACCAACTTTCATTGTTTTTATAGGCTGGGCCACCACTTTTTGAAGTAAAAATTGTTTTTGTGCATTGAAATTTGTGATTTTCCAGTAGGCTTCACACATTTTTCGTCTTTCATCCTCAGAAAAATTATTTTGGCACTGATACCGGCATTTTACGTAGCACTTTACGGGCTTAGGTTTCTTTGCAGGCATGAGATAGCCCTTTTTACCCAAATAAGGCAAACCTTTTTGTTTATTAGATTTAGCTATGTTTTTTTCCACTTGCTAGGATCGCTTTTTTTCCAACGCGTAGGTTTAATAATAGTATTATAAAATGTAAGTCGAATTGAAAGACAAACGTAACTCTGGAGAGGTAAAAGTGTCCTCCCATAAATCGGTCTGCTCACGGTCGATGCTACAAATGCATAATTTGGTAATCGCAAAAAATATTTGTTTTACATCATAATTACAAAACAAAGATTTTCAGTTTAGTTTGTTCACTTATAATGAGACAGCTTTCTACCAAATTTCATGCTTCTAAGTCATCAGAAAATAACTTGAAGGTTTACATAAATAACTTAAATTATTATTTATACAAACCTTTAAGTTATTTCTTACGAGTATAGACATAAATGACCGTAGCTTTTGATAGTGATATGAGATCATTATTTTTTGATTTTAATTTTAACTTGATTTGATGGGTGAAGAAGGCGATGACAATAAACTCTACCGTTTCTGAGAAAAGAGCGTTGAGAGAATGACATACGGATGGACGGATAACAAAATGATCCTATAAGGGTACCGTGTTTCCTTTTGCGGTTCGTAACCCTAAATACAGATTCAGGGAAAAAACGTTCGAGCTTCGGTTGAAAACCCGATTGCCAAGCATGATATTTATGGGAAATATACCCTTCATGCCTGCCGTGTAGTGGCGTTTAAGAATATCCACTACCCCAAATCTTCCCGTGGGTGTCGTAAAAGGCGAAAGAGGGAGACAGGCAGGAGATGGGCAGCAGCATCTTCCTAACAGCAACTGTACGACAAAAAAAAACTGCGGTTGCCAACCCGCTCGCCAAGCGTGGCAACTATGGCAATATGGAGTATATTGATGAACAATTACACAAATAGACGGCCCCCAGTCCCCGGCGGCCCCGCTATTCCTGGCTACGGTGGCGACCATGGTAACGGTGGGGCAGGGGGGCTAAGAATCTCCGGTGGAGGTTCGGTTGCTACCTACGACGACTCGACCTGGCAACATTTAACGCACGCACCCTGAGGACTGACGAGAAGATCCTGGAGCTGGAAGAAGAGATAGACAAGTTGCGCTGGAATATTATAGGATTATCCGAGGTCCGAAGAGAGGGGGAGTATACGGTGATTCTCGAATCCGGCAACTTGTTCTATCACCGGAAGGGCGACCATCTGTCCCAAGGAGGTGTCGGATTTATCGTCCACAAGTCTCTCGTCAACAACGTTGTAAAGATTGGGAGTGTGTCGACGAGGGTCGCGTACCTGATACTCAGAATCACCAAACGGTATTCGCTGTAGGTCATACAGGTTTACGCACCAACCTCGGCACATCCCGATGAGGAGGTGGAGGAAATGTATGAGGATATTTCCAAAACCATGCATTCCTCCAAAACACACTACACGGTGTTGATGGGAGACTTCAACGGAAAACTAGGCACAAGAGAAAACGGTGAGCTGAAGTTAGGGAAATTTGGAGTAGGGCAACGGAACCGAAGGGGCCCGCAGCTGGCCGACTTTATGGAGAAAGAGTGACTCTTTATGATGAACTCTTTTCTTCCAGAAGCGGCCCCACAGGAAGTGGACCTGGTCGAGCCCCGACGGTTCGACAAAAAATGAGATTGACTTCATTATGACGACCAGACGCCAACTGTTCAGTGACGTCTCAGTGATCGCAAGGGTGAAAACTGGCAGCGATCACCGAATGGTTAGAGGCACACTGAACCTAAACGTTAAGTTGGAGAGGTCTCGTCTAATGAAGTCAACGCTCCGTCCCCCCTCGTGCTCTAATCCAGAATCCCGAAAACTTTCAGCTCGAGTTACGTAACCGCTTTCAGTGCCTACAAGATTGCAATGCAGTAGACGATATGAATGAAAAGCTCGTGGAAACTGTCCATGCGGTCGGAGTTAAGTTATGCATAACCCGCCGCAGAAGAACACAGAAACTCTCCGATCACACTCTTAATCTCATGGCTGTTAGATGGGAAATGAGGCTGCAATCGTCAACAGATTTGACAGCATACAAGCAACTGAACAGACAGATCTCCAAATGCATGCGGCGAGACTTACGCAACTTTAATACTGCTCGTATTAAAGAAGCGATCGAGCGGAACCAGAGCTCCAAAGTCTTTGCCAGAGATCTGTCTGCCAGTAAGAGCCAACTGTCAAAGCTGAAGACTGAGTGTGGCAGCATCGTTTCCGGGTCACCTGAAATTTTGAGTGAGATTGAGAGGTTCTATGGGCAGCTGTACACATCATCGTTGGAGCCACACGCAAGTGTGAGTAACGATCCAAGAGCAAGTCTTATCCGACACTATTCCGATGATACCCCGGACGTCAGTCTAAGCGAGATTAGAATGGCTCTCCAGCACCTTAAAAACGGTAGGGCCCCAGGCGAGGATGGAATTACAGCGGAGCTTCTGAAAGCGGGTGGAACACCGGTACTTGAAATCCTTCAGAAGCTCTTCAATTCCGTCCTCCATGGTGGCACTACTACAGAGGCGTGGAGCAGAAGTGCGGTGGTCTTGTTCTTCAAGAAAGGTAACAACGCTCTCTTGAAGAACTACAGACCGATTTCCCTTCTGAGCCGTTTCATTCCCGTCTACGTGCTGTTTTCGAGAGTCATTACGAATCGTCTCGCACGCAGACTCGACGACTTCCAGCCTCCCGAACAAGCCGGTTTCCGAAAAGCCTTCAGTACCATAGACCACATATATACCCTGCAGCAGATTGTACAGAAGACTGAAGAGTACAATCTGCCACTTTGCCTGGCGTATGTGGACTATGAGAAAGCCTTTGATTCCGTCGAAATTTGGGCGGTGCTACAGTCCCTTCAGCGGTGCCAAGTTGACTGTCGGTATATCGAAGTGCTGAAGTGTTTATACAGTAGGGCTACGATGGCTATCCGAGTACAAAACCAGAGCTCGAAACCTATCCAAATGCAGAGAGGTGTAAGACAGGGTGACGTTATATCCCCGAAACTCTTCACCGCTGCATTGGAAGACGTTTTCAAGCTACTGGACTGGAAAGGATACGGTATTAACATCAATGGCGAGTACGATATAGTCCTTATGGCAGAATCGCTGGAGGACTTAAGCACTATGCTCAATGACCTCAATAGTGCCTCCCAACGGATAGGTCTTAGGATGAACATGGACAAAACCAAGATTATGTTTAATGTCCATGTCACACCTATGCCGGTATTTGTTGGGAGCACTATGCTCGAAGTTGTTGACGAGTACGTTTACCTGGGACAAATAGTCCGACTAGGTAAGTCCAACTTCGACCGAGAGGTCAATCGACGGATTCAACTTGGCTGGGCAGCGTTCGGGAAATTACGACACATCTTCTCGTCAGGTATACCTCAATCTCTAAAAACTAGAGTGTACAACCAGTGCGTGTTGCCAGTGATGACTTACGGATCTGAGACGTGGTCCTTCACTGCTGGCCGTATAGGACGCCGTCGCTCAGCGAGCTATGGAGAGGGCTATGCTCGGAGTTTCTCTGCGTGATAGACTCAGAAATGAGGATATCCGCAGTAAAACCAGAGTGACCGACATAGCCCAACGGATTAGTAAGCTGAAGTGGCAATGGGCCGGCCATATAGCTCGAAGAACCGATAACCGATGGGGAAGAAAGGTTCTCGAGTGGCAGCCTCGTACCGGTAGGCGTAGTGTAGGGCGACCCCCCACTAGATAGAGTGACGACCTGGTAAGATATGCAGGAAGTCGATGGATGCAGGTGGCTCAGGACCGTGCTTTGTGGCATTACTTGGGGGAGGCCTATGTTCAGCAGTGGACTTGTGAAGGGCTGTAATGATGATGATGATACCCTTCATGAGGCAATCTAAGAATAAGGCCTATGTTCAGCAGTGGACTTGTGAAAGGCTGTAAAGTTAATTATGTAAGTAAAAGGCGAAGTTTTTGTACATTTTGAAAGGAAACCTCCTCCTCCGTGTAACTTTACTTGGTTATTTTTCAAGGAGTAGGTAGCCAAATTTTAAACTTTAGTTCAAATATATAAATAATGGCATACCGTTATTGCAGGTTTTTAAAATACGAGTAAATAAGGCTTCTTTTATTTGAAATTAACCCAAATTGAATGTGATTTATGGTTAACAATGTTTTTGCCTACCGATCGATCCTCTTAGGGTCATGGAGGATCGGTAGGCAAATCCGTAAGACGAAACGACGACGCCGAAAGTAAGGGTCGAACGTGCGCAGTAACATAACATCAGTTAAAATAATGCATTAACACGCATTTTGAATTTAAAAGATAAAAGGGGCAGAATTTTTGAGATTTTTTAATTAATTTTTATTTACCATTAGCCTATATTACTTATTCTAAACCTTTTCAGCAAATTTGACCGGTTATTGAAAAATATCGCTGTACGGAAGTACTTAGATGTATAAATAAATAGCCGCCAAGCTATTTATTTAAATAATTTAAGAACGAATTCTTACATACACACGTAACATTTTGCTTAATATTAATTTTCTCTTTTCTTTCTGTTTAGTTCATCGGAGAAAGGTTGAATATTTTTTATTTTTATCACGCTTATTTTACTTTAAAATAAAAACTACATTTTATTTCAAAGATAAATAATAAATGTAATACATCAGTTCTGTAGTAACAAAGAAATCTTTATTAAAAATCCCAAGAAGGCGAGATACTATGGCAAGAGGTAACTAACCACAGAATAAATAATGGTACACTTAACAATAAA